GACTATAACATCCAAAAGGAGTCAACCCTCCACTTGGTTCTTCGCCTTCGTGGTGGCATGCAAATCTTTGTGAAAACTCTTACTGGGAAAACCATCACTCTGGAGGTTGAAAGTTCTGATACCATCGACAATGTCAAAGCCAAGATTCAAGACAAGGAGGGTATTCCCCCAGACCAGCAGAGGCTCATCTTTGCTGGTAAACAGCTAGAGGATGGAAGGACCCTTGCTGACTACAACATCCAAAAGGAGTCAACTCTCCACTTGGTTCTCCGCCTTCGTGGTGGCATGCAAATCTTTGTGAAGACTCTTACGGGAAAAACCATAACTCTGGAGGTTGAAAGTTCTGATACCATCGATAATGTCAAAGCCAAGATCCAAGACAAGGAGGGAATTCCCCCAGACCAGCAGAGGCTCATCTTTGCTGGTAAACAGCTAGAGGATGGAAGGACCCTTGCTGACTACAATATCCAAAAGGAGTCAACCCTCCACTTGGTGCTTCGTCTTCGTGGTGGCATGCAAATTTTTGTGAAGACTCTTACTGGAAAAACCATTACCCTGGAGGTGGAAAGTTCTGATACCATCGATAATGTGAAAGCAAAGATCCAGGACAAAGAAGGTATTCCCCCAGACCAGCAGAGGCTTATCTTTGCAGGCAAGCAGCTTGAGGATGGGAGGACCCTCGCTGACTACAATATTCAGAAGGAGTCAACACTTCACTTGGTCCTTCGTCTCCGTGGTGGGATGCAAATTTTTGTTAAGACCTTGACAGGAAAGACCATCACTTTGGAGGTGGAAAGTTCAGACACCATTGATAATGTGAAGGCAAAGATTCAAGACAAAGAAGGAATTCCACCAGACCAGCAGAGGCTGATCTTTGCAGGCAAGCAGCTTGAAGATGGGAGGACCTTGGCAGATTATAACATTCAGAAGGAGTCAACCTTGCACCTCGTCCTTCGCCTTCGTGGTGGTTACTGAACATGATGGTTTGTGTTGTTTGAGTTGGTTGTCCCTTGTCATTGAAGTGTTTCTCTTCTCTGTCTGTGTACTTATTGGGTAATGGCCAATAGGTGTATGCTACAATAAATGTTTGAAACTGTCATTTTAAGTTTGTTTTTCATGTTTGGTTATTAGATACTGGATTGCTATCTTTTAATAAATATATTCTACATACATATTTGCCCATTTGTATAGATTTTGTGCCGTATCATGCTTGACTTGAATTAGCAGGGGATTTCAATTTTCAGTTTATATTTTTGGTGGATTTATTCTCAAACAGCTAGTGGTAGTACTAGCTAGCAATCTTGGCTTATTTTTTCAGATCTCATATTTCGAGTTAACTGATGATAGAGAAGCAGTTTAACTTTGGCAGTGGCTGGGGTAAGTAATTAGATTGGATTCAATTTACTTTTGTTGCAAAGGAGGGAGCTCTGCCCTTTGTTTTTATGATTACAATTTACAAAATGATGTTGAAACTTGATGAAGCGTTTTGTAGAGTCGAGACACGGCCCGCAAAAAGGCGTTCTTGACATTATCCCATTTCCCACACACTTCATGTAATAGAGTTTGGGATTGCATCAGTTACATTGAAAGATTTACTTAACCATTACTGTAGCATACAATTACTATTAGTTGGATTTTCTATACACTATGAAATTAAATACAAGATGCCCTATTTTATTTTATTTTTGGACTAAATTACGGATAACTTCTCTATAATTATTTATCTGCCTGTTAATTCATGATTAGAAGGGGTATGCAGTGCTTCTTCCTTTTCACAGCTGTGGCAAACTCATAATCCTTGATCTTTGGTACGGTACCATTTTCATCTTCATCCGCTTCCTTTCATTCAAGGTCCATGTAATGCTTCATCTTCTTCCTTCTTTACAGTCTCTTCAACATCTCCATTATCTTCATCACCTGGTAAGTTTTGACCATTTATTTATTTCTCCATTGTAACAAAAGAAAATGGTAATGTACTCTGCATCGATCCATCCGTTTTGACTAAGAAACCTTTGGATTTTTATCTTCAGAATTTATGGAATCATCTCGATGAAAGGCAATTGGAATGAGTAACCAGATCACTTCTGACCCCAACTTATTCAATTTGTTTTTCTCAAAACACTACCAAAATTTCATCTCTACTTTCTCTGCTAAACCCGCCACCCAAAATTACTAACATTTTCAAGCAGGTCTTCCCTCCAGTTTTGTGATTCCAATTGTTTTATCATCTGGTTCATCAATATTTGTAACAATACTAAGGCTTAATTTGGGAGTATTGGTTTGTAA